CCTCTGAGAATCAGGTAATCATTTACAAGTTGTTTTAAAAATGATTTTATATATAATCATATACAATATTGTAAATATTTATAGGTACCTAAAGTACCCCAGAGTTTCTTGTAGGATATTTTCAAGATAGAAAAAGATATTTCTAAGATTTATTGTTATACAAATAATGATTTTCATTATGTAAAATATAATGTTAAACTATACGAACAGACTCTGTTTGTTCGCCATCGGCACCAATGAAATTGCTAATTGCGTTATAAATTAAAAATTATAAATTTAGCCCGATTTTAAAACATTTGCTATTTATTTATATCATGGAAATATCGATGAAAATTATATCATTATTTACAAACCCTTGTCAGAACCTTGTGGTTTCTAGATGCTTTTTTACTAGAGCTTTTGTATTCAACTGCTATATAAATAAATAAATTGTAAGCGCTGATTTACGATGTGCTCGCCGGTGAAGGAAGACATTGAGAAGAAACCTGCATATATGGGGAAAAATAATTCCAATAAGTAAGTAATAATTAAGTGCGCCTAAACGCAATATTGTTGTACAATTATTTCAGAAATGAGAGTACGTCCAGTTGTGAGACGTTATTAGGATCATACTTTAATTTTTTTATATCCACTCTTTCAAATCAAGTTATTATAGTTGACTAAACTTTTACTCAGGAGAATTAAGAGATTATAAAAAAAATATTAGATTTTAGACTTATGGATTAAAATAGCATGAAAAGGACAATGCAAAAAAAATCATAGCATATTCTTGATTCATTATATTATAAATTAAATTTTAAATAATATATCCATTCTTTATTAAATTAACTAGTGCAGGCTTTCCTTTGTATGTCAATGTAATACGTACTAAAATAAAAATTTTACATTTTATTAACCTTTTTATTACCTTTAGTTTTTCTACATCTTCATTGAAAAAATCAGTGGTGGGAATGGCAGCACCGTAAAACACTATCTAAGGCGATGAGCTGCTTTGATAGCTGGTAGTGAAAATGTGATGGTGGATACATATGGATAGGTTGTGAAATTTGACAAAAAATTGATCTTTCACTAAAAATATATAAAACGTACCGACAAACTTTGCTAAACCAGGTGACTAGCGGATGTACAGTCCACCTGCTGATAAGTGGTTGCTGGAGTCCATAGACAGCCAACTTCAAACAAAAAGGCTTCAGGCGGCTTGACTGCGTTGTAGGGTGATGTAAATAGGCTATAAGGCTATAGGGAGCTATGATAATCACAGGCCGTGTGGCATTCCAATTTGATCCCGGGAGGTGACAACGACTCTTTTGCCTTCTTAGTTTGAAGTGGTTTGCAGGTAAGTATACACCTGTGTTGCAGAGGATACTTACTGACTGAGACTGTAAGTTTATTTGTCACTTTAGTATTGAAAAAAGAAAACAAAGAAAAATGATTTTCGAGTCTCTTTCAGGCACCGGATGCTCGTTTGTTTATTAGCAGACTGTACTGAGTGATCTTTGGTGGTAGTTTCCAAATCCATTTTGATAAAAGAATTTCCTCATGGTAAAGTACATTATGTTGTTATACTGTTCGGGTATTGACACTAGATTGATAATATATTAATTAAAAAAATTGGTAACTTATGGAGAAATCGTGGCCCAAAATGTCTTAACTACTTATCATAATTGAGGTTTTATTTATTTTCATTTTCATTTCAGAAGCAGGACAGTATGTTGTCTAGTACATTGTTAGATAGATGCTTCTCTTATATAGTTATGAGAAATAACTAAATAATAATAATTATTAAATAAGTAAGCCGCCCCAATTCATTACTATTGGTGAACTTCAACTGGCTTCAAAATATTTTAATTTCTTACATGGAGGATAACTCACGATGTCTTCATTCAGTTGTATGCACTGTTGTGTTTCAATCTGAAGAGTATAGAATAGAATATAACAGAATATTTTTATTCAATATAGATTACAAATAATTTTAATTGAAAGTCATTTTACTTTTACTACTTTTTCAGGAATATTCAATCCTGAGAAGAACCAGAAAGAAACGCAGCGGGACCCTTTTTTGACCCAGAGTGCCAGTTTAATAACAATCTGTAAAGCATTTCATTTAAAGTCTTCAGAGGTGACAACGCTTCTGTGGCCTGAAGTAACTACCATCAACAGGTAGAAATGTTTGTTACATTAATTTTATTAAAAAAAACCCTCACAATGTATTTGCTCGACCATTGATTACACTTTACCTATTAATAGCTACGTGGTAAATTAGCACTCAAAACTGCGAGTAACAATTTTAAGGGTATAGGCAGGAATAGAACGAAAGTTGCTCGGGTACCTAGTTCAAATTTACGATGAGCGCTTATCCCATGAGCTACGACGCGCCGGCTTTTTTACATGATTTATTATAATAGTAAGGGCGTGGAGAAAAAGAAACCTCCAGCCAAAACCCCTTAAATAATTACCGCTTTATATAAGCTGTAAGGTTACTTATTATATTAACTAAAAAGGAAAGTATAGTAATAGTAGCCTATATATAAAGTAGAGTCCGCCGCGCTAGAGGTGCAAGGAAGCTGACCGATGCGAAGGGGTGTAGTGGAACTGTGACACGATGTGACTCTTTTCACCAAAGCTATAGGAGGAATTTGAGCCGTGTGAGGATGCGTAGCAGACTTTTTTCACTAATGGAGAATTCACGGAGGTCTATTGAATTGTAGTCTAATCCACACCGCTCATTCCTTGTACGCCTATCTCACTCGCGTACTTCGCACACATCTCTCGTTTCTTTGGATGTACGAATTCCCCACTCCGCTAAGCCCTTTTCCTTGCGCTGCGCTCAAATGGCTAGAAACTGAACTACTAATATTGGTGAATTTTGCCTTACGCACTGCTCAGCTACCTCACACATCTCTGTCGGAAACGATTGTGCGCTGGTTGACTTTACATGTCTTCTAAATATTTTTTTATTTCTCTGACATGCAATTTTCGTCAGGTTTCTTCACCTTGTCACAAGAGGCAAAACGGCACTATCAATTGCAAATAATATTTTTGTTCAGCGGGGATCGAACCTGAGTTTCTTACGTATTCGACCCTGTATACTAATTATACCAACTACAAGCAAGGAACGTACTAAAGCGTCTACTAAGAAAATTACATTTGCTGCATACCTACCTTATTGCATCTTCTACAAAGACAGTTAAACTGCTCGAGTTCGTAATTAAAATTTTGTTCTAAAACGTATTGCCAGTAATCTACTAAACTGTGGAGAAGTATAAAAAAATATTATTGATAACAGAATGATGTGTCAACTGTCAATCCTTCATTTCTAGTGACCTGATCGTTAGTTCAAGTATTGATTCGTCAAACTGCATAGGGTTCAAAGCTTTAAAAATGCAAAAAAATTGTAATTTAAATTTATGTCGATAGACACTACTTGTTCGTGTGAATCAAATGCAGTGAAGATCCTAAAGAAAAAGTCTAGTCGTCACCGCCGGTAAATACAGGGCTCGTTCTTTTCTCGCTCAAAGGCTAAATATAGCCATTGGAGGAAACGCAGCCAGCGTTCTTGTCACTATACTGCACTATATGATAATAATAATAAAAAGGCGTAGGGAAGTGACGACCCCATCGCCCGCTGACGTAACAGTTATGTGACGAAACTACTACGTCGGCGCAGTCAGTCAGCGCCCTGCCAAGAGGTGTGAGCGCCGTGCCTAGGCAAAATTGTGGGTGCAAAGGTCCGTTTGTGCACATGACCGAACCACGAAACGGTGCCGGGCTTGGGCGTCTCCCGTTATTTGGCGCCCATAAATGAAAGAAGAAAGAAAGAAAGAAAAAACATTTATTTACGGTCTAATCACAATAGATACAAAACAAAGCAAGAAATTGGAATTAAACAGAAAATAAAACAATATTTCCCTAAATTAACAAAAATGTAAAAATAATATAAAATGAGTCTGTGTAGCAGCATAAGACCGTGAAATGGACAGGACTCAGTAAAAATCGAGATACAGAAACACGAATTGCTCTGATCCCGACACTGGTTTTCAGTCCGGCCCGCACTCCGACGTAACTCGGACGGCTGCCTCAATGCACATGCTATAATGCGACGCGGAATATATAAAAAAATATGTGTTTTTAAATTTTTATTCACATAAATAGTGGATATCATTAGTCTAATGAAGGTAAGTACAAAATAGAATTAACGTTTTCCTTCTAAATATATCAATTTTATTTATTAATAATGCGGAATAAACGTTGGCTAAAGAATAAAGGTAAGAAAATGATTGTCAGAAAAAGTAAATTTATTATACAAATATTTAAATAAAATAGTTTTATATATTATATAAAGTGAAAATTAAAAATATCTACATAATTTATGGGACTGAGATTACTGACGTGTTGAAAGAACTTAACCTCCTACCAGTTTATTTTATAGATCGGTATTTTTTTGTTCCGAAAGTAAGTGTAACCTGTATTTGATTTTAAACCCACTAATTGTTTTCAGGTCACGCAGTGGAGGCGGGAGGTTATTCCAACATTTAGTGGCATTATATTTAAAACTACCTCTGAAAGCGGCCGACCGGTAGAAAGTATATACTAACTTGTAATTGGATGATCTGGTATTATACTGCTTATTTTGATATTTAGACCAAATCAACTTATTATATAAATATAAAGGTTGTTTATTTTTAATAACTCCAAACAAAAGTGAGGCAAAGTGTAGTCGTCTGCGACAGTCCATTTTTAAAATATTAGCGTTATTAATGAAAGGGGTTGCATGTGCACGTGGTGGTACATTGAAACAAAAGCGTGCAATGGATGATGGTACAAAGAGGAATGCGCATAGGGCCGCTGCCTGGGGGTCGCCGGGGCGCGTCTGGAGCTGGCGCTGGACGCGGCAGCATACGGGCCGCCAGCCGAGCGCGAGGAGCTGTACGATCACCTAGCAGCCCTCCGCATCCATCATCCCCACCACAAGGCTTGGTGTCGGCTGGGTCTTCTCGGACTCAGCAAGCGGCACCCGCCGCTGGTGGAGCACGTCGCATGCGTTGGTCACAAACAATGAACGCAAACGCACTGCGGGCGTACTTTAGGGCAAAAGGGGAAGAAACCGGATGTTTGGCATATCGGGCTCGGATGCGTCGCTTTTTTGCAGAGCTGGAGCCATCTCTATCCGTCACTGAGCAAAACCTGGCAGACCGGTACATCCTGCGCTCCAACATATTTGGTGACGCCGAACTCGAACGACTATGACGTGAGGCTGTTCCCTCATCGGATGGAAATGCTACGGCTGGGAATGCGGCGCCACTAATTGCGCAGCAAACTGCAAATGTGGACGCTGCCGTCAATAATCCATTTGTGGTTGATTCAGACGATGGTGGAATAGTCCCCCACGAACTAGAGAAAATGAGGAGCATATTGGAAGAGTTGATGCTGGAAACGCGCAGCATGCCTCTCGAAAATCGACCGCGACTTCCCCGCATACCCCTTAGCAAGCGAAATCGGCCTGTCATGCGGGCTCTTAACCCAATGCTGGTGACCTATTTGGAAGCCAGCCGGGACCTTTTGCGAGACGGACTCAATTCTTTTTGGCGCCGCACTGGCAGTATGCCGTATTATTGGCGCCAAACTTCCTATGGCTGGACGTGCTACTCAACAAGGTAGTGCCATCCCAGCCTGGAGAAAAAGAATCGAGGACCGTATCGCAAAGGCAAGGGCCCTTATCGGCAGACTGACAAGCTTCAGGTCGGGTAATAATAGACCGAGAGTTGTGCGCACCATTAGAATGGCGTTTGCAGGGACAAATATTAGTTGGTCCCAGCCGGATATCACGCAGAAACTAACGGAGCGCATAGATGACCTGAAGCAAAAAATCGCTGCTTGGGGGAAGCGGATTAGACGATTTAGCGAGAGGTCAAGGCGGTTCAACTAGAATCGTCTCTTACAGAGTGATCAGAAGAGGCTCTGTAAATCATTGGAGCGACCAGAGGTATGTGGAGCGGGCCCAGGACCGTATCAGGCTGACACTGTCGCATTTTGGCGTGGCCTGTGGTCAGAGCCCGTAAACCACAGCGAGGGCCCTTGGATGGAAGTTGTGGCGAGCCAGAGTGCAAGTGTTACGCCTATGGACCCCGTCGCCACAACGCCTGAAGACGTGGCTGAGGCGGTCCGTAGGGCCCCGAACTGGAAAAGTCCGGGGCTCGACGGGCTGCATCATTACTGGCTGAAGGGGTTCGTAGTGTATCACGCTGTGCTCGCCCGACAGTATCAAGAGGCTCTCGATCAGAAGTCGCTCCCGAGCCTTTTCACTACTGGGATCACTCACTTGGTTCCTAAAGATCAGGATACCACAGACCCGAGCAAATACCGCCACATCACGTGTCTACCCACCCTATATAAGACACTGACATCCATTTTGAGGGCGAGAATCACTCGTCACCTGGAGCTAAATCAGGTGATGTCACGCGCTCAAAATGGATGTCGGGGGCGGTGGTCGTGGAACCAAGGAACCACTCCTCATTGACGCGATCATTGGCAAAGTGGTGAAACGCAACCGTCGGAACTTCTCCGTCGCCTGGATAGACTACAGAAAAGCATTCGACTCGGTGCCCCATACGCGGCAAAAGAGGGTCCTCGAGCTGTACAAGATTGACTGTACAGTTAGAGACTTCCTCGAGCAGTGTATGGGGCAGTGGAGTACGATCCTCTGTTATCTGGGTGAGCGGATGATGGCTGCGGAGAACCACATAAGGATAAGAAGGGGTATCTTCCAGGGCGATTGTCTGAGTCCAATCTGATTCTGCCTCTCTCTGAACCCTCTCAGTACCTTACTGGAGGGCTCCGGGAGAGGATTTCAGCTACGGAAGGGAGGAACAAAAGTGACCCACCTTTTCTATATGGATGACCTGAAGTTATTCGCCTCCAGTCGCTCCCATCTTATGGAATTGCTAAACATCACTTGTGAATTTAGCAATTCTATTGGAATGGAGCTGGGGACGGATAAGTGTGCGGTCCTTCATGATGAAAGGGGAAGGGTTGCTAACTCTGAGGGCATAGATTTATCTATGCCCGTCAACTTAAAGACCCTTTCCGAGGCTGAAACATACCGATACCTGGGTATGTCACAGAACATCTGTATCGATGAGGCTGGTATGAAACAGTCAGTTTGCGACGTGTTTTATGCACGCTTGACCAAAGTGCTTAACAGCCTTTTGTCCGGTATGAATAAGACACACGCATATAACGGTTGGGTTATGCCTGTCCTCATATATACCTTTGGCATACTCAGGTGGACTCAGACCGAACTTAACGCCCTGGATAGAAAAGTCCGCACTACCATGACGTTCCATACGATTCATCATCCGAGATCGTCGGTAATGAGTCTGTACTTGCCGCGAAAGCGTGGTGGGCGTGGTTTTCTGAGCGCGCTCACCATGCATAATCGCGAATTGTGCAGCCTCCGTGATTACTTCCTGGCGAGATCGGATGATCCATTCTATAATGACGTCATTTCTAGTGATAAAGGACTTACCCGTCTATACTTAGCCCACGAGCAATGGCAGGACCGATGAGTGCTTAGCATTTCCGACCGGGAGACCGTATGGAAGGAAAGGAGCTCCACGGGAGGTACTACAGGGCACTTCATGAGCCCTTCGTAGATACAGTCGCCTCCCTTAACTGGCTACGTTTCGGTGACCTCTTCGGGGGAAACCTAGGGTTTTGTCTGTGCAATACAGGATCAGGTTATTAAGACCAACAACTGTCAGAGATACATCCTAAAGGATGGCACCATCGACGTCTGTCGAGCTTGTCGCCATCTCGGGGAGTCACTTAGGCATGTCATCTCCGGTTGTTCGGCGCTTTCTAACTCTGAGTACTTCCACAGGCACAACCTAGTAGCCAGAATTCTACACCAGGAGCTCGGTCTGAAATACGGTCTCGTGGACCGGAAATTGCCGTATTACAAGTACTTGCCGGAAGCCGTGCTCGGAAATGACCGCGCCAGGCTCTACTGGGACCGGGCCATCATCACAGATAGGACTATTCTTGCGAATAAGCCTGATATTGTGCTGATGGACCGGGCACAGTCAAGGATATTTTTGGTCGACATTACCATTCCGTGTGACGAGAACCTCGTGAAAGCCGAAACAGATAAGCAAACAAAATATCTGGACCTGGCTCACGAGGTGACCGACATGTGGGGTGGTCTGCCGACCGAAATTATTCCTGTAGTCGTCTCTGCAAACGGGCTAATCCCAGTCAGCCTCTCGGGTCATCTGAGGCGACTGGGACTCCGTGACGGACAGCTCCGGGCTCAAATGCAGAAGGTGGTGCTCCTTGATACTGCCCGCAACGTCCGCCAGTTTTTTTCCCTTTCCCCCTAACCCTTGGCCGTTTGGTCTCCCCTGCCGAGGGCTTCCATCTGGTTGGGCTTTTATTTATTTATGTATTTTTGTATTTATTTTATTATATTGATATTTATGTATATTTATCTTTTCATTTTCATTTATATTTATACATCCCAACCAGATGATAAAACTATATAGATACCCCACACAATAATAATAATAACACCTTGCCAAGAGGTGTTAGTGCCGTGCCTCGGCAAAAATTGGAGGTGCAAAGGCCCGCTTGTGCACATGGCCCACCATGCAACGGCGCCGGGTCTGGGCGTCTCCCGTTAAATGACGTCCACAAAAATGGATGATGGATTTGACTAGAATACGCAAAGGGCCGCTGCCTGGAGGACGCCAGGGCGCTGGACGCGACAGCATGCGAACCGCCAGCCATGGAGCGCGAAGTGCTGCACGACCACCCAGCAGCCCCTCGCATCCATCATCCCCACCAGCTGGCTTGGTGTTGGCAGGGTCTTCGCGAGCCCAGCAATCGGCACCCGCGACTGGTGGAGCACGCCGCATGCGTTTGACAAATCAAATGAACAGCAACGCATTGCGGGCGTGTGTTTGGGCGAAAGGGGGAGAAATTGGAGGTTTTGCAAATCAAATCAAATCAAATTCATTTAGTAATGTTTGCCATTTCTCTTTGGATATTTTCTTTCAGGACTTCAATTGTCCGCGGGTTGGTTTCGTACACTTTAGTCTTAAGATAACCCCCATAAGAAAAAGTCCATTGGGGTCAGATCTGGACTACGTGGTGGCCAAGGAATATCTCCTCTTCGAGAGATCACTTTAGGGAAAAGTTGACGGACGATCGGCATAGTGACGTTAGAGGTATGGGCAGTTGCTCCATCTTGTTGAAACCAGGTCCGCGTATTGAAGCCTGGAAAATTCTGCAACTCTGGTGTAAAAAAGTCCTGGATCATAGCTACATACCGTTGTGAAGTAACAGTAAGCGCGCGGCCTCTGCCGTCCTCAAAAAAGTAAGGGCCTATAATGTCATGCGCTGACATAGCCGCCCAAACTGTCACTTTAGGGCTATGTAAGGGCTTTTGATGTTTGCGATTTGGATTTTCGCAACTCCAGTAGCGACAATTTTGCTTATTGACATGGCCGTTGATGTGAAAGTGAGCCTCATCAGAGAATAACACGTTATTAAACGAAGTAAAGCGGTTCAACATTTCATTTGCGAAATTTAGTCTGTGGATAGTGTCACTATCTTTTAATTCCTGTACTATCTGAATCTTGTACGGGTGAAGATGTAAATCTTTCTTTAAAATTCGCTGTATCGATGTTCTGCGTAAGTTTAATGCACTGGAACGCTTACGAGTAGACTGGGTAGGATTTTCACGAATTGAGTGTTTCACTACATCGATGTTTTCTTCCGTCCGTGATGTCCTTGGTCGACCTGACCGTTGTTTATCCAACGTCGAACCACTCTCTTCGAACTTAATAACCCATTTCTTAATTGTTTGAACACTTGGAATGTCTTTAAATTTGCGTAAATTCTGATATTCTCGAAATTTACGCCGCGCAATGGTAGCAGAATCATTGTTTCGATAAAACTCGCGCACACAAAATGCACGGTCTGCACCGGTGAAACGCTCCATGGCGACTGAATTCCCAGAAACCGTCGGTACTCCCCCCGCACCACGCGCGCCACTCATGCGCGCCTTTTGTATTTTATTTGAAATTTACATTTCTAACGACTTATGGGCCACCTTGTAGATTTATATCGTAGATATACATCGAAGGCAATGTCAGAATTTTTAAGTGTTTAAAGTATGGTTGACAGCTTGTAGTATTATCCAGATGGCACATTACTCTGATGCATTTCTTTTGAGCTTTGAATGCAGATT